AACATGGAGAGGGTCCAGAGGAGGCCACTCACATGATCAGGGGGCAGCAGGGCAGGCCCTATGAGGAGAGGCTGAGGGACCTGAACCTGTTCAGCCTCCAGAAGAGAAGGCTGAGGGGGGATCTAGTGGCCTGTTACAAACTAGTCGTAGGGGACCAGCAGGCATTGGGGAAGTCCCTGTTCCCCTGAGCACTGCCAGGAGTGACCAGGAATAACGGTCAGAAGCTGACAGAGGGGAGATTCAGACTAGATATCAGGAGGCACTACTTCACGGCCAGGATGGCTAGGATCTGGAACCAACTTCCAAGAGAAGTGGTGCTGGCTCCTACCCTTGCGGTCTTTAAGACAAGGCTTGACAATCACCTTGCTGGGGTCGTTTGACTCCAATACTTTTTCCTGCCATGGCAGGGGGTCGGACTCGATTATCTGCTCAGGTCTCTTCCGACCCTACTACTAACTATGAAACTATGTATAGAACTGAAGAATTAATAGAATTTAAAGAAGGAAACAACAATCATAACACTGACTTAATGGGGGGGTGTCTTCACAGCAGAATTAGCTTGCGCTCTTACTCCTACTTGAAGTATTGCCCTGAACCCCCACATCCACATGCAAAAACCTCTCCCTTTAGCTCAGTGGTAGTTTTAACCCCAGGTTAACTGCTGCAAGGAGTAATACAGGTTAGAAACCAAGGTTTCTACATATTAGAAACTTTCACTCAGCTCCTAACCCCCTGTTTTACAGTGAGGTCACACAATAAATGACTCAAGTGCCTATAGTCATCCAGTCCTTCCCACTCTTTCCACTGTTTGCCAAGGAGAACAGAAAAGTGTTGCTACAAGTCACTAGGACTAGTAGAGTAGTTCATCGTACTGCAGCATGAAGAATAATGGGGTGTGCCCCAGGGAGCGCTAGCTGTCCACATGGGAGATCATAGCAGCATCAAGAACACAGTAATTCAAGGAGAGCTTTGCAGTATGACTGCTCCCACATGGCCTACATTAACCTGGGTGCTCAGACATTTGTGTTAATCGCCTGCTGTAACTGCAACGATGATATACCCTAAACTGGAAGACTTACATTATAAATGCAACTAGAAAGTCCAGGTGGTAGATTCTAGTGAAATCCTCTGAAGAAACTAGCACAGCAGAACATTTTTACTGGGCTTGATGCTGATGTGAAATATTTAACAGAAAAAATAATTAAATAATACATAAGATTAATCCATTTTACAGGAGGGAATTGTAGGGGATCCCACAATGGATTTCCATTTTTTTTCTTAATCAACAATAAGTAAAAACTGTTGTAATTAGAGCTGGTTCCTAAAATCAATTGCCATGTAAAATTGCGGTTACCAGTTAGGGAACAGAAATAAAAACACATCCCTTAGGTAACCAATCACCTACTAGGTGCAGTGGATAAGAAATAGCCTGAGAAATATTAAAGGGGCCAGCTTACCAGCTGCTATACGTCAACACAGTTCCACTGCATTCAGTGGAGCCAATGTGATTTATAGGAGCTGAGAGTCTAACCTGAGGTTAATAGTCCATGGATTGGCCATTTTGTCCTGTACACTTGGTTGTTTCCAGAGAAGATAAAAGCTTCTTTACCAGTCTCAATACTACCTGGGACAGTGGTAGCTAAGTCTAGTTTCTTTCTCTGTAACTCTGTTCTAGTGGGGTTTCTGTGTCTCTACTGCTAGATTCTGAATGGCATAACTAAGCAGTACCAGTCCCCAGCATCTAAGGCACTTAAGCTGGTAATATGCTCTTTGGTATCTTGAAATCTTGTCTGATGCCAGAAGTCACATTCAGGATGACACTGGGTGCATCTATACATGGTATTAAGGTGGCAAAATAAACTCTGGTGCTGTTTGCACCCAAGTCAGCTACTCCCAGGTGCAGTGTCTACATGTGCACCCAGGACCACAGCTGGCAGAGGGTCCGGGGGACAGCCCTGGCTCCAAGTGGTGGCACTGGGTGGCGGAGGGGCTAGCCAGGGCACAAGGGTGCTAAAGTGCAGGTCTGGGT